AAAATGCCAACAAGGTAGAAATGAGTACAGGATAACCAAAGTCTTAAAAAAGAATAGTGAAAAACTTATTTGTTATTCATCTGGAAAGCCAGAGCACCAAAACAACTTTGTCACAGTCAGTAAAGCTGCTCTATTCATATTTCAATGATGAAACACAACCAACTTTTCATCAAAATTTTTAACACAAAGGTGCTTCCAACTTGCCAGTTATCTTGTATACAAATACTTTTAACTTGTATACTGAAAGTAAACAAGAAGTTTTCTAAAAAGTAAAAGGTTAACTTTAGATGTTTTATTTACAAACAGTTGTATGAAAGGTGTTTGCTTTTTTTACTATTTCCAACAAAATTTTTGTTTTTCATTAGCTAGAAAGTTTGATGCAGGTAATCATCAAAAAGAGTTACAAATTTCTTAGTGTTAATCAAGTTTATTTAATATATAATATATATATATATATATATATATATATTTTAATCAATTCGGCAGTCATGTCTTAATTTTATTAGGCTTTGTAATAATTATCTAGACTATTAAAATTTTAGAAAGACTTATCGGTAAGTGATAAACTCTGAACATGTCAGCAGATAGCGTATGAGAACTATCTTTAAATAACATGCACCGTGCCCAAGGGCTATACAACTATACCTAAATTACAAGTAAAGACTAACTCGGTTGCTCAATAAGTACCTATATTTGACCTGCTATAGTAGGATTCTTCTCCTTCCGGACTCCTCCTGCAATTGGATATGACTCAGCTCTTAACAAATAGTACCTACCGCTGATCATAACCACCTCTCTCTTCTTTCAGACTTCTTCTACCTAAGCCCAACAACAAAATTAAAACCCTTATTCATATATAAAAGTGAAAAAAATAATGCTATGTTTATGAGAGACATAAATACTTTAAAAAAAAACACTTCATAGTAGGAAAAAAAACTTTTTAACAAATTCTAAAATAGTCTAACATAAATAAACCAAGATGAAAAAAGCGAAAAAAAGAAAGGTA